CCGACGTACGACTTATTACTATTTAGTTAGTACGACTTAGTTTACGTTAGACACGGAGGAGTACTAGCGTCGGTTGTAGTGTAGACTCGTAAACTACAACGTTACGTCTCTCTCTCTCTCTCTCTCTCTCTCTCTCTCTCTCTCATTGAAAAATCATTCTCACTGGGATGCATAATTGTCTCAATTTTCAGTGGAATGATAGGGGCAAGGTTATCAGGTGATGCTGCAACCGTGCGCAGCCTTGTGGGAGACGCCTTGGCACTTGCCGTCCAGAACATCTCAAGTATTACTGCTGGTTTGGTCATAGCATTTGTAGCCAACTGGCAGCTGGCTTTTATCATTCTGGCTCTGTTGCCTTTTGTTGGTCTACAAGGATATGTCCAGATGAAGTTCATCACGGGCTTCAGTGCTGATGCTAAGGTTGTTGCATGATCTTTAGCCTTTCTGTAAACACATGCATACACATACACATGTAGTTATTTAGTGAGATAGATGGATAGTTATAAAGAGCGAGAAGGAAAGAGATTGAGTAAAATATTGTGAATGTTTGGATGCTGAAGTTATGGGTATCTGATTGCAGATGATGTATGAAGAAGCAAGTCAAGTGGCAAATGATGCAGTGGGGAGCATCCGTACAGTGGCATCTTTCTGTGCAGAGCAAAGAGTGATGGATCTTTACAAGAAGAAATGTGAGGGCCCGATGAAACAAGGAATCCGTCAAGGTGTCATTAGTGGCGTGGGATTCGGTTTCTCTTTCTTTGTATTGTTCTGCACTTATGCTCTCTGTTTCTATGTTGGTGCTATTTTCGTGAAAGATGGGCGCACTACCTTCAGCCAAGTTTTCAGGGTGATTTACCATTTCCCATTACCATTATCATCATCATCATCAGTTGTAGTAGTAGTATTCCTGTTCTTTCATTTTCATTGACACATTACAAAATTGGTTACCTTCAACTATCCTTGTCACCTTCTTCAATTATTTACTTTTCTATTTTCTTCTTGTTTTTGTTATTGTAATGTTATGTGAATGGGTTTATTATATTCTTTAATTGACAATGTTGCACTTGCAGGTTTTCTTTGCCTTGACAATGGCAGCTATTGGAGTTTCGCAAGCTAGTGCATTAGCTCCAGACTTTGGTAAGGCCAAGGCCTCAACAGCCTCCATCTTTGCGATCCTCGACAGGAAATCAAAGATTGATTCAAGTGATGATTCAGGAGACAAGCTTGCAAGTGTAAAGGGAGATATAGAATTCCACCATGTCAGCTTCAAATACCCAACCCGTCCAGATGTACAGATCTTCCAAGACTTGTGTCTCTCTATTCCCTCGGGAAAGGTACTTTCTCTCTCTCACACACCTACACATAAAGTACAGGCATATATTATGGGTTCAAGAGGATATTAACTACGTACTGACTCATTATAAATATATCATGAACACTTTCAAAGCGTGAGATACTTTCGAGGCAAGCATTTCACGAGCCATTGTAGCCACTTCAGTTGTCTCTTGATCCTAGGGTCGTTATGGTTCTCTATTGTGTTGGAGTGAAAACTATTGATTTTGTTGTATATAAGAAGATTTGTTTTCTCTCTATGGACGACCCTCTTTGCTTTCAAATTTCCAACTAATGTGTAATAAAGAGAGGAAGCCATGATAGTATTTGACCCAAAACTAAGAGACTCTGGGTTGTGCTCGTTTATGAATGCAGACAGTGGCTCTAGTGGGAGAAAGTGGGAGTGGGAAGTCGACAGTGATCTCCCTTTTGGAGAGGTTCTATGACCCTGACTCGGGGCAAATTACGCTTGACGGGGTGGACATCCAGAGGCTCCAGCTAACTTGGTTGAGGCACCAGATGGGCCTTGTGAGCCAGGAGCCCATACTCTTCAATGACACCATTCGCTCCAACATATGTTACGGGCGTGATGGCCCCGTGCCTGAGGATGAGCTTATTCGTGTGGCAGAGTCTGCCAATGCCCACCACTTCATCTCGAGCCTCCCTCAGGGCTATGACACCAAGGTTGGGGAGAGAGGTGTGCAACTCTCTGGGGGCCAAAAACAAAGAATAGCCATTGCAAGGGCCATTTTGAAAGACCCGAAGGTGTTGCTTTTGGACGAGGCCACGAGTGCATTGGATGCGGAGTCGGAGAGGGTGGTGCAGGAGGCATTGGACCGGGTCATGGTGAATCACACGACTGTGGTGGTGGCCCACAGGCTGTCAACAATCAAGGGGGCAGACATGATTGCGGTGGTGAAGAATGGGGTGATTGAAGAGAAGGGGAGGCATGAGACACTCATCGGGTTGAAGGATGGGCTCTATGCATCGCTAGTTGCACTATACATGAGCTCCGCTAACTGATTTGAGGCGAGCGAGGAACTGAATTCCTTTCTTGTTTTATTGTGTTTGGCTTGACAATGGATGGCAAGGATGACAAGCTTTTCATTCATCCTCTCTTTTGTAGAGTAAAGATCAATAGTCTCTTTACCTCTTCTCTCATTACTCTTGGAGCTTTTTCCCTTTTTTCATGCTTTGACTGTAACAAAGACGTTTGTAACTAGTGCAAGTTTCAAAGCGGAAGTGTCTCTGTCCATATCAGGGAGGGACCAGTACTGGTACATGACGTTTGTGGCCAATATATATCAAGTGCGAGATCGAGAAAATAAATTGAATACGATAATTTTTTTCATTGATTACTTTTTTATGCTTTCTAATTGATAGATTTATAGCCTATATGGGTAATGGCTTCAGCAATAAGCTTAAAGGATTCTTAATGCCTGTAAATCTACATTTTTTAGAATAAGAAGTAGTGTGAACTTTGAATTCTACTAAGAATTTGTTTTTTCTTCAAATCTTTTTAAATCGCATGACTCAATTTAGAATTCCTAGTTCATTTCCTTGTTCATCCTTCTCATATTTCATACTCAATCTCCATTTGAAAGCACATTCAATAAATTTCTCTCTATTAATATCTAACTCAATCCGGTCCTTGTTTTCTCTCTTGTGGAAATAGAATTCCATCTCATCTATTTCTTAGAACTTCAAATATCTTATATTGAATTGATTTCAATCATTTTAAAAATAACGATAATCAGTAATTTATAATATTAAATTTTTATTTAAAAATATGTTGATTAAGTATATTTAGTTAAAAATATATTTATCTTATCATGGCTAAACTTTTATAAATAAATCAAAATAATATTTTAAAAATATGAGAAAGGGATATAGTAGAACCCCATTTCATGCGTTTCTTAAAATTTCAATTCTCCTATTTTGAATTATTTTAAAATAAACAATATACGTAATTTAATTTTTTAAAATTATTTTGTATAGTTGATATTCAAGTAGGATATTTTTAAGAATAATTGAAAAATCTACTTGTTTTATTTTGGAGTAAATAAATTAAAAATAAAATAAAATATAAAAAGTTGTTATATAGTATAATATAATGGAAAACGTTTATACATAGTGATGCATCTCTTGATTATGGAATGCATCTCTTGATTATGATAAGATTAGGTGTCCTAAATAAGCATGACAATTATCTATCCATAGTTATATATTTATATTGATCTTATACATTCACGAATATATCAATATAAGAGTTATCTGCATATAATATGAGATTTTATCAATAATATGCATTATTTTTAGGCATTGAAATCATTTATATATATATATATATATATTTAATATTTAATATGAAGATGGTCAATTAGAGGATTCTCCAAAATCAGAACCACCCGAGTTTTTGTAGTGACCATTACTTATAGGGTGCGGTTTGTATACTGTCGAAGCTCTAAACAAACAAAGTAAAGCGCATCTTCAAATAGTGTCGAGAAATGTGGTTTCAATATCGGAAATCTTTTTGATAACCTTAAAATATATTTTCATGTTTAATTATAACATTTAAAGCTTCAAAAATAATGTAGATCGAGCAGATCTATAAAAACTTGAAAATGTTGAAAATTGACGGTCAAAAAATGCATAACAAGATGCAGTATTTCCAAAACTTGAAATCCATTTTTTTCATGTCCATGCATCTTGATGTCAAGATGATCAATTTGAGGATAGTTTGACATAAAAACCTCTTCTAATGAATTTTTTGAGATGGGCTCTAATTTGATTAATTAGAGCTTCAGCTTTATATAAAGCTTTTCCTTACTTATATAATACAAAAGTTGACACCTTATGTAAGCCTTTTCCCTGTAGAAATGTGTGGTATGTTTGCTCTCCAGTAGGGGAAGCATATATCTTCTATGTTGTAAGGGAAGTATAGAAACCTTTCTCATAAATGTGTGAGTGTTGTGAAGTGGGTATGTTGTCCCCAGTGATTTAAAAAACGGATCGGTGCCATGAATCAGGCACCCGAAAAACCTATTTGAATCGGTGTTTCGGATCAGGAATCAGCCGAATCCTTGCTTAAAAAAAATCTAAAAAAATTATAGTGGTTTAACGGATCAGTGCCCCTGGATCAAGCACTCCAAAAACCCATTCGGATCAGTGAATCGGTGTTTCAAATCAGGAATCAGTCGGATTCAGCCTTAAAAAAAATCTAAAAAAATTATTAAAAATCATTATAAATGTTGTTTTTCAGGAATCCAATAAAAAATAAAAGTACTACATTAATAACTTTCATTTTTTTGCATCAACATGTGAATATTGAGATGTTCTTTCCCTGTATGAACTACTGTTAACCATTAAATTTAATACTATAATTTAATTTTGCATCAAAATGATTAAAGTTTTTTAAAAAATTCCATTTTATATGATTAAAAAAATAATACCCTTATTGATTAGTATCACATTAAATATTGATTACTTATTTTTACCCATCTAAAATTATAACAACTAACTAGTTACAATATTATATATAGAAATTAGAGTTATCAATTTATATTTTATAATTATTTTACTATACAATTAGAATAATTAAATTTTTCTTGTAATATCATCTAGTTAAAAAATTTATTTAAAACCATAACAAAAAATAATATATTACATAACTATAATACAAAGAAAATAATACATTACATAACTATAAATAAGATACACGAGAGAGAGAGATTGTTAATAAAATAGGAGTTTAGTGAGAGACACCAAAGTTTAGAATTAAGATGAGAAAGAGGGAGAGACGGCGAGAGAGGCATTATAACCATAATAATTTTAATATAATAATAACAATTTAAACAAAATTATATTAAATATTTACATAAATTTATCCATTCAACATAATACTGTTTATATGATCATATTTACATAATTAGTATTTCATTGCAGCGAGCCAATCATGTATATATAACGCCGCATCGCGTATAGAAGGAAGGAGATTTTGCCAAAATAAACTGCAACGATGGAGAGCGAAACCCATTGCTTTTTATCTTCCCGTGATAGACCCTCTCTCTCTCTTCTCTGCCTATCTCTCTCCCCCACCACTCTCTCTCCTCCCGTTAGCGATTACCCTCTTTTTCTTTTCTCTCTCCACAAAAAGCATCGCCCTCTCTTGCCACTCCAATGAGAGCTCCCCTCTCTCTCTCTCTACTTCGCCACCTCTCTCTCTCG